CCCGGGGGCAGCTTCAATAAATTTCAGCGTGTTTTTTATTCTCAAAGTAGAACGTCTGTATATATGGTTACTCTTTACATCTTCAGGAAAAGAAGATACCATTAGAGGTGTAGAACATGCTAAAGACAGATGAAATAGATTTTAGACGGTTAAAATGACCTTTTAAAAGTATGCGCGCTTCATGAGCCTTTAGATCAGTCAAAAACTCAATTCAAAAACCACAACTTGAGAATACAGTTCACATAGCATAACATGTATTGCAAAACATATCCTTAGTTATTCAGACTTCTGTTGAGCAGAAACTCAAAGACTATGACTAGAAACTGATTTTAAGAAAGTTGTCTATGTTATGTAAGCACTCCCCTTAAGTTATTGGAGAAAGGTCACAAAAAAGGATGATGTGATGCAGTAAATATTTCTTTTCATCAATAATTCTCAGGTATGACACATATCGGGCTAAAAGAGGCAGATAGTGAAGTACCTTAAACTGCGATCGCGATTCAGCTTCTAATTTGTTATAGAAAGCGCGTTCCTCGGCAGAGAAAGCCACCTTCTTCAACTGTATAGTTTTTGGTGGTAAGGTTATAATTGGCTCACCGTCAATCAGTGTACCTAAATCAGTAATGTTGACATAATCAGATAGATATAAATATATCTGTTGAAGATGTAGCTAGAAAGTGAATTAACAGACTAAATGAGCACATGAGAGTGAGTGAGGTTTTAACATATACAAAAGATCATTTACCGAACAAAGGAATATTAACCCATTCAGACATGCATGCCTGGCCCCACATAGATGCACGGTAAGGTAAAATAAAACNTGCACCACATAGATGCACGGTAAGGTAAAATAAAATTGTGATCGAGAAAAAATGAATACTGAAAAGCTGCTACAGCATCAAGATCACTCAGTGATCCAGAGAGGAAAACTTGATGGGAGACTATTTAGTAAATAAAAATTTGCTGATGCAACCAGTGTTAGAAGGCAAGGGCATAAAGACGTAAATTACTTTAAAAAGCCAAGGCAGAAGCCCGATCAAAAGGCTTAAACCCCATGATGTTTTCATTTTTGCAGTTTCATTTGCAAAACTACGACTAAAAGAACAATAAGGAGAAGACAAAGGTTACCTTTTGTTCGTCGCAACATTATGGCCCTCAAAATCGCTTGAAGCTTTTTATACCCATTAATTGAGTTTATAGCTATTGGAAACTTAATTTGGCTGCAAAATGATTTATATTCAGCATAGGGGTCATATCTCAGAAATCTGAAGTAGCTGAATAACTCATCAATGGCATTTTGTATCGGTGTTCCAGATAAGCACCACCTTCGTTTTGCTCTGAGGCTGCAGCATGCTCTAGCTACTTGTGTTCTATGATTCTTTATTGTCTGGGCTTCATCTAAAATCACCCTAAACCAACTGACTTTGGCAAGACCACCACAATTAGGATCAAAGTCATCTGCATCAAATCCTTTTCTGCCTTTTTTTCCCTTCTTATTAAGAGATGGCTTTTTCCGCTTCTTACTTGAATTGAAGTCAGAAGATATTCCGAATCGTTCTCCATTTTTCTGGTCATCGTCATCCTCTTCAACTAAAGCTTGTTTAGGAACTTCATTTGTCACAATGGCATATGTAGTTAGAACCACGTCATATTTTGCCAATTCCACCGGATCCTTAGTCCTATTGCCTCCATGATAGATTAAAATAGATAGACTTGCTTCATCCGTAACTTTCTCATCCAGTTCCCGAGCCCATTGTCGAAGAACACTTGCTGGGCAAACTACCAAAGTACCAGCTGCTGGCCTCCTACGACGAAACCCCTTTATAGAAGTTCTTGCATCTGGAATCACCTCGACACCATCTGTCTCTCTACGCTGTTTTAATTCCTGAGAAGCAGGAGCAACATTTTCATCATCATCATCCAAATTCAAGGCTTCAGCTTTAATATCATCCAGATCTTTCTCTTTAGACTTATCCTGAGCTGACCTCTGCATCTGTATGAGGGCAATCATTGAAATAGTCTTACCAAGACCCTGTAGCATACCAGAATAAAAAAGAAAACATGATGAATACCAACAGAGATGCAAGAAGAAGCTAAGCAGAATAAGGCAAACGGCATTATACTCGACCTGATCATCAGCCAGAATACCACCCGAACAATGAACACTACCAGTTTCTTTTTGAAGTGTCCACGCCAAAGCAATTCTCTTGAGGAGGAAAAATGGTAGTTAGAAGGCATACTATACAAAATAAAAAGAAGACGCATTAATAACAAGAAATAAAAAGATATTTAAAGTAGCACAAGTAGACCTGGTGTCTTAGGAGAGAAACTGACAAAAGACCATCTGGCAGACGAGCCTCTACCTTAGGTTGGTTTAAATCCTGCCAGAAAAGGACATTAGTACGTTCAATTATAAGCTGGGTGAATATACAAGAGATGCCACCTCTGGAGGCTCATTGGGTGTTTGAAACAATTTTGAGGGGAAAAAATTCCCCCTCACACCTAATCACGTTACAGCATATCCATAAAGTACAGCAATCAGATACACGTTATGTCTTCCCTAGAGGATAAAACATACATCTTTTGAGAGGTGGGATAGAACAAATATTCTAAGAATTCATTCACATAATTTCCCAGATAAATTGATATCTTTACACCGCACTTGAAAATCCCTGCTCCTTTTCCCTAGAACTGAAAAGATCTAATGATAGACATCAAAATTAAATTTAAAAAAATCCTGGTTAGGTCAATAATGTCATGAAGTTTTTGAATAAAAGAAGGAAATTAAAGAAAGGAAACCAAATCCCACCAGAAAGATAAACATTTCAGTTTCGTCCAACAGATAAAACAATAGGGCATTCGCAAGAAACAACCACTGTGTTCTAGACTAGCTTTGTTCTGTTCAACTGTATAGTTCCAGGCATACAGAATAATTAATTCATAAAATGAAAGGGATATCCATTGGTCCATTATGCAGAGGAGGGAATAGTGAAGACATTCTGATTTGGTGGAGATAAAAGGAAGGATCATTGCATGAAGTTCCTGAATTGTGCAATAAAATACAACATTTACAGATCACAAGAAAGGGCACAAACAAGTACCTGCAGAGCAGCTTGAAAGATCAGTCTCTCATCAGCTGCTGCAGCTCTGTCTTCACCTTTCGCAGGGTAATGTAAGGGATCATTTACACTGATATGTTGAACACCTGAAGTGGACCTTCTGTGCATCAAAGACGGAGGTAACACTCTGTTTCCTTTATTTTCATAGAGAACTAACTCACTATGGTTGCCCCTGTTGAAACTGTCTTTCCAGTAGTTATCACCAGCACTGCTCGAACTTGCCCATGCAGATTGGTATGATCTTTCATGAGATTGACGAGCCTGACTGAAACCTATATCCTCTACTGAGCCAGAAGGATAAAAAGATGTTGGAAGTGTACGCTTTAAAGTTTGCTGTGGAAAATGCTTTCCATTATCTGCATCAGACACAAATGTTTTCTTTTTCAATAAACAGTCCTGTGAAAACTACTGAATGCTCGTGGCAGACCATTATTACCATTCCCAGAAGAATACTTGGAATTCCCGTCTCTACTTGCTCGTGAACTTGATGGTCCACTGTCATCAGTAATATTATGATAGTTGGAGGAGCTTCCATTAGGATAAATTGTTCTTTTGGACGAGCTATCTGACATTGTTCCAAGGTCTAAGTTATAAACAAGTTCACCATAACTTTGTGCTGGGAAGAGAAAAAGGTCATTCTTTACCTGTTCCCCATGGTGGAAGGATTCGAGAACTGGCAGAATCCCTGAGAGGTGAATCATCTTTGTAGTTGTCTATTTCACGCAAATCCGAATCATCCGAAGAGATACTAATTGCATCCATTGGAGAGAATATAGAACCAACCTGTACTCAAACAACAATATGGCAACGTCAAAAAAAGATCATAAACCAGGCACTCAAATAATTCATAACTAGATTCAATGGTAAACTATTCCTTTACCAGATGGGAGCGATGTCTTAAAAGCAAGTTAATAACCAGATTAAAGAAGAAGGTACGAGCATACTCTAGAAAACCACCAACAGGATCCACATGGGCACGCATCTAAGTGAATAGCATCAAACAATCCTATTGTCAAAAAAGGTAAACATGGAAATTGAACAACATAAACTTCACAAAAAACTGAAACACAAGGAAAAAAAAGAGTAATAAGGGGTTCCATTGTGCAACTTTAGAAAATGCAATGATGCAGTAGACATGAGCCATGCATGGAGGAAATAGACATAAAGACAACTTTTTTTGTATACAAACTATGATAAATAACTCAAGATAGTAATGCTAACCTTCCACATTCAACAAAAAAATCAAAATCGAGAAAAATAGGTTGGTGTCGCAGAAAACGAAGAAGAAGGAAACAACTCCTCAAATTCAGAGCAACAACAGTAAACATTCAACTCAAACTGGAGAAATCGAATTGGTACTAATCGAACCAAGAAAACTCAACAAGACTGGTCATTATACATAAAACTTAAACGGGTGATTACATTTTGAAATACCCATTAGGCAAAGAAGCAAATTTTGAGCCAACCCACACACTCAAAAGCAAACTAACCCCCAGGAAACAGAAAGGTAGAGTGCAATATAATACCTAGTGTCTGTCTCTGACACAAATTGAGGATCGTCACAAGTAATTCCTCTTCTTTTGTCTTGTATCTACTCGAAGCCCTAATTGGGTCAGAGGCGGAGAGAACAACCGACCAAGGGGGGAGAGAGAGAGTGCGTGTGTGGGGAGGGGAGGTGGGAGTAGCTTTTGTTTGGCTTAAAGGGAGTACATCCCCTCGTACTTTGGGAATTTGCTTCATAAACATGTACGCCCCCAGGTCAGACACTCCTAGGGTCGTTTGGCAGGGTGCATAATAATAACTTGAATAGGGTATATTAACATATTTCTTATCCATTGTTTGATTTGATGTATTCAAGAATTGTATAATTTTTAAAAGAATTATTTGTTTACAAAAATGTCCTCAAAAGCAGTCTATCACTCTAACTTTTTAAAAAAAAACATATGTTAAGAAATGTTTTTATATGAAAAAGTTAAAAAACTTATTTGATTTGTCTACCTATATTGTAATATATAACCAAATATTTATTTATAAAAAAGGAAATATGCTAAGAGTAAATTTATTTATTTACTAGAGATATAATTTTATTTCTCACTATTTGGATTATTTTATACTTGCATTAATATATTAGCTAGCATATTTTAATCAAGCATAAATTTTGAAGGTCAATTTTGTCTTTAACTAAGCTAATGCATGCATTAAAACCCATTCAATTGCTAATATCATTGTTTTCTATACATTAGTTATGCATAGGATAATATCAAATATGATGTATAACTAATGCATAGGTTCAAAATATCTACCAAACAAGATATTATTAATACACAAAGCTAATGCATGCATTATTTTATCTAATGCATTCTTACAAACGACCCCTTGCTTTTTAGCTATAATATAATTCCTCCTCCAAAAAAAAGGATTTTAGGAGATTTTAGATTTATGTACTACCAAATCTTTGTTTACTTTCTAAATTTTATTGCATTTGCCAGATTCTACTTAGATCGAGTCCATCCATATATGTATTTATATCTATATCTATATTAATATAAATGAGGGGCATATCTTAGTGACGTGGCAAGTTTTAGAAGCCGGAATTGTTTAATTTCTGTACTCTATAATCTATATCAAAACCTGAAAATTGCGTCTTTTATTTCCTTTATTGCCGTTGCCCTCTTCTACCAAGTGCCAATGAACATTGCTTCTTCCTTCCTTCACTTCTTTCTTACCTCCATGGCTACTACTACTGTTTTTAATTCTATTTTAAATTATTATCACCCTCTTTCTAATCTTTTTTTTTCTTTTCCTTTGGTCTCCAAGTGATTATGTTTTGCCTCTTTTTTCTTCTTTTTTGTCAAAATTTAAGGATTTTAAATTATATGTGGATACGATGGTGGATCAATATTTTTTCTGTTGTTGATTTATAAATTCCCCCTGCATGTTCATAAATTCCAAATTAACGTTAGTATTTCTAATTTGATGCTCTTATATTTATGTTTTAAAAATATCTTTTTTATGAGCGTATTACAAGTTTTTTTCTTCAATTATGAGCGTATTACAAGTTTTTTTTTCAAAAAAATTAATAATTAATGACCCCTTCACATCTGTTATCTCAATGTCTTATATCAATGTCTTGAATTTTTTATGCTTCCCATTTGTTTTATATATATGTATATACATGATCAAGTATGTGTATTTATTTGACTATTCGGCCATAGATGCCTAATGTTTATGCCATCTCAAGAGTTACATTTCAGCACCAACTTTCCCCTCTCTCCGTGCCTTATCTTCTTTATTTGTTTAACTAGTATTAGTATCCGCGCAGAAGCGCGGACACTAATCATGTCAAATATTTAAGTTATTTAGATTGTGTGTAAATAATCTTAAAATTTACACTTTCTCAGTAAATATAAATAATAATTGGATATTAACTACATAGAAAAAATTAATCATTTCTTCTATTTTATTTTATTTTGATACTATTGTTGCCGGTGTCATTGGATCCTAAAAATAATGAGGAAGCAAAATAATAACTCATATTTATGGCAAAATAATTAAATGTTGAGACAATGAATAACTATTTGGATAAGACTTAACTCTTTTATTACTACTTGAACTCTTATTTGGTGTGTTGATATCACTTAAAAATATTTCTTTCTTAAAATTTCAGATTCTAAAACATTATTTTTCAATAATAATTATTTTTATAATAATGTAATTGAAAATATTATTCTTAATTCAAAACTCATTTTAGTTGGCTATCTAAAAATATAAAAAATTCTTTAGTTAGTGATTTTTTTTTACTCCATTTTGATATTTGACCTTAATCATGTTAAATATCTGAGTTATTTGAATTATATGTAAATAACCTTACCATTTAAACCTTCTAAATAATTATAGATAATCGTCAGATATTAATTAAGAATACTACATGAAAAAAGACTAACACTTTCTCAATTCTCGTAATGATAATTTATTTTTTGCACTATTCTCATAGGTATCATTGGAACCAAAAAATAGCCACAAAGTGAAACAATAACTCATATTTATGGCAAAGCACAAAGGTTGACATGATATAAACGATTCTTTGATTACGACGTGACTCTTATACTACGATTTGAACTCTTATTTGGTATGATTTTATCTTTCAAAAAATATTTTTATTTTGAAATTTCAATTTCTAAAACTTTATATGTATTATAATAATAATAATTATCTTTATAATGATGCAAGTGAAGATATTATCGTTAATTTAAAATTCACTTTAATCGGCTATCTAAAAATTTAAATGATTCTTTGGACCGATTTATTTGAGTATGACTCCACTTTAAGTTTATCGATATCTCTAGCCCCAAAATTTGAATTTTTAATACCCTATATATACAAAAAATTTGTTCTTTGAATCAGTAAATATTAAATTAGTTGATTATTATTATAAAACATTACATATATTATCTTAAAATTGTCACATGGTTTATTTTTTGACACCATACTTGGCTTAACCTCAATGAAAACTACTCAAATTGCATTCTAATTCAAATGCGAACATCATATTAGTTTGTTAGAAATAGTGATTTTTTAAAAACGACACATAATGTAAATTTAAAAAAATATTCTAAGATATCCTTATCTTATAATCTATGTATTTGAGTTAAAAAAAAAAATATTTGAAATCGATGAGATTAACTTTCAAATTTTTTATACTCAACAAAGATGAAGCATAAGAAGACATTTGTTGTTCATCTTTTATGTCTCGTTTTTAGATCTTTCTAACATTTTGTTTCAATATTTATTTTCTTTATCTTATTTTTTATGTCATTATTTCTTTTGTAACAAAAAAATTATTTTATTTCACTATAAAAGGATGTATTTTAATAAAAATTATCTACATGTGAACTTTAATTATATTTTTAGTCTTTAGTTGAAATTATTTCATATTTTTCTTTTGGCTTTATCTAATCAGCCTAAATAGGTGCTCACCCGACCACTTAAATTAAAAAATTGAATGATGTGTAGTTTATATATAATCCATATATAATATGTGTATAATCGTGTGTTATCGGCATATCATGTATTTATATTAGCTATAAAAAGTAAACAATAAATATGGCCGGCTATTATGTAAATATTCCATAAGATTTCGGTTTTTTGAGCTTATCCATGATATAACTTTTATTATAATAATTTTAAACTCTCTACTAATGTTTAAAAATATCTTATTTTTTTATTATCTTTGAATTAAAAAAAGTAAAGAGTTTTTTCGAAATAATTTGTTTACATTTTAAAAAAAAATATTTCATGTCATACCAATTTTTTCTTTATATATACTTTTTGTTACACTTAAAAGTCACTATAGAAACTATCAATTAGAAAATAATTTCTCTCTTGTTGAGTTTGAAAAAAAAACCTTGCACATAATTTAATGATTCATAATTAATATTCTTCAACGAAAAAAATATTATACCCTTGCAATATTGGTCTGACTACAGCTAAATGAAGGGGTTTCAGCTTATACCCTTCAATTCCTTGAATGTGCTAAATTAAAATTAATGATGCAATTGTATAGACAAAGTTTTGTTATTTGTTTGATGTCCATTTATGCAAATTGACTCTTCAAACAAATATGCTTCAAGAAAAAAAAACTTTTTTATAAATATTGACTGATTTTGTGATGTTTCTTTCTCCAGCATGTATGTTTAATTTATTATATATGTAAGTAGACTTTTATTTGGTTTTGTAAACTCTTTTTTGTTATTTAGATAAACATAGGCGTGTACCCTATATATTACATTTATTTTAAATGAATTTCGTTCTATTCAAATCTAGCTGCAATGTTTCAAAGAACAATACTTATAAGATTTTAAATATGAAAAAGTTTTATAGTTATATGGAGTATTTTTTTTTTGGCTAGATGCGAAGTAGTATTTAAATAATTAGAAAAAACAACAAAAGTTCTTAATATGATTGCATATGATAACATGATAAAAGAAAGATAAATTTTATTTTTAATGTAAGTTCGAATTTTAGAACTTTATCTATAAATTCAAAATTATCTTTTAATTGAAATTTCGTATATATATTTAATTCAAATTCCGTATATATATACGGAATTTGAATTAAAAGATAATTTTGAATTTATAGATAAAGTTCTAAAATTCAAATTTACATTATATATATATATATATATTATAGTCAAATATAGAATAAAGTTATCATATATTATTGACATTTATTAGCTTGTCACTTGGCTTAACCAAAATGTCAATCATATATGGTAACTTATTGCTCTTTCTAATTTCAGGTTGTATACAATGCCATAAGAAGAGATGACTGAATGAAGTAATACCTTTTCTAGGTTTACTGGCTTCTGTGTCGTTGCTTGCAATTCTCTTTCTATATTCTCTAGTTAAAATGCATAATTATATCATCTTTATGCTTCATCATATATTTTTAATATGCTTTTGTGCATTACAAATATTTATATAATTTAAGGATATAAATATAAATAACTCAAGGATGAAATTCTTTTTCAATTTAACCTACATATTTGCCGACCTTACAAAGTTGACATTGAATATAATTTTTTTTGGGACTTAATCATTTCGGACGGCTACTGATCACCTACTATTCATGGTTTAGAGGAATTACTGTTTAGAGGATAGTAGCCTTATTATATTTACACAATTTTTAGTACCGCGAGTCATATAATTTGTAATGGAATGTGAATCCTTCATTCATTCAAATAGGTGTCG